ACGTTGTCTGTCAGTTTGATTGGTTCATATGTAAGTATTGGTGATGTACAACCTTGCTTACTGGGCTCTGGCTCATGAGCTTTGTTTCTGTTTTCCATCCACAGAAATTGTCGTGAACACCTGCTTTCGGAGAATCACTGTCCCCTGGTGTTTCCATAGCGTGCATATTATAGGGTGGACTTCTTGGTCCTGGCGGCACCTGTGAGTGGTAAAGCGATATCGGTGGGACATACCCCCAACTCCACTCCCCTTGAAGTTTGTTGACGTGCCTTTGAAGTCAAGACATTTAATAACTGTACGTCGGGTTCGAGTCCAAGGCTCTTTTTTTCACTTGTGCCTTTCAGGTGAACGACAGCCGCCGAACGACAAGAACAAGACCAACCCGGGAAACTTAGGCAAAAGCCTCGATCCTTTGTATCAATCCGCGAATCCGAAGGGGGCTCTGCAGCGTACTATTATGTCCCTTGCCTTGGTTTTCCGAGAACTTCCCTTCGTTTTCAGGGGGATCTTCGCCCCCTGAACGTCCGGTTTGCGCTGGACGTAGTTTTTTCCCTCGTGGTTGGTTGACTTGGCCGTCATGATGAAACCGAGATATTTTATCGACGGCCTCGCGGTGCATTTTTCCTGGCACATTTTGAAGCCATACTCTTGAATGCGACTAACGTAAACCAGGCGCTGCCACAGTTCGTCGGGTTTTGAACCTATGATGAGATAGTCCAAATAAGCAGTAAAACCGGCAGCACCCTTCAGCATCATATCTGTGATCAGTTGAAATATGGCTGGGGCTGTATTGATACTGAATGGCAGTCGGATATCCGGGAACAGACCGAGGCGCATGTTGCTGGTCGAAAGTCCTCGGGCTTCCTCCTCGACTTCAACCTGGGCTAAGCATCGACCAAATCAATCTTTGCGGAACATTCCCCCTAATCAATTTTTCGGACAAGTCGTCTGGCATAGATAAAGGTTCCTCATGGGTATCCAATGCAGCACTGAAACTGGCCTGTGCACAACCGTATAGTCCCGTTTTTCTTCAATACGATCGGTGTGTCTCATGCGGGGTAATTGGTCTGTTGGAGAACACCGGTCTTCTGTATTCGGTCCAGTTCCTGGTCGTAGGTAGTTAAGACCGCATATGATACTGGGTGTTTTGGCCTGAAAACCTGTTTGGCATTGGGGAGAAGATACCTCTGGCTCTCGCTTTTGCTCACCGTCCAAGACCGTTGGCGAACATGGATGCATGCCGCTGCAGGAGGTCCTCAAGTGAACGCTTCGGAAGGTGAGTTTTTTCGAGGGCGTGAAGTTGCAAATAGAATTAACCGGCTTTTCCAGAAGATTCAGCTTATTGATCCAATCAAGCTCCGTAAGATCAAGTTTCGGGTATAACTTTAGGTAGCACGTTGCTTGTGCCGTCGAGTTACTGGAGCATATGGTGCAGTCAAACTTGGCAGTCTATTTCACGTTGGCGCCAGAATCATTACGAGCCCAATGTTCAGTCGGTTTTACATGCGGCTTACCCATTCGTTTGCATGTTCGTTTACTGAGCAGTGTGATGGCAGACCCCGTATCAAGCTGCAAACGACCTGGAATGTTGCCGATACGAATTGCCGAAAAATTCTTTCGGCATGCAAAATTTAATTTGAATGTCATCGTCACCAAGTTGGACCGCGATTTGAGAGTTGCATGGTGGTGTGTTGGTGGATGCAGCATCTGAGATAGACACGAGTCTTCTTTGCTTTCACGACGATTGCATCTGAAACATTTATGACGCCAAAACCAGCAATAAGGGGCAAAACGCCACTCACCGCGATGCCAACAATTTTAGAAGCTTGCTCTGTTTTCGACCGGGCTTGTTTTTAGATTTCTTTGGGTAGCTGGAGTAGATTGTGTGGACACAGCTGCTTAAATTTAGCAGTTGACTGACCAATCAAAGCCGTGTCTTGCTTCAGGTTGATGAGGCGTTAACTTTCAGTAGTGAGGCTCTGCAACGTCATTTCAACATCCTGTTCGATTCCGTGAAGCAGACGGGTTCTGGTGTCTGCATCTTAGGACGACTGGAGACCGGATATAAAAATGAGACACTTGAACTGGTACTCTGCCATTGAGCTGAACTTGAAACGCTCGTATTCCCCATTGGCAACACCGGCAAACGTGATGTAATCGTAATAATCTCTCTCGACCGGCTTCAGGTATTGGTAACCGATATTCAATAGTGATGTTTGATCGTCGAATAACTGAGACAGTGTTCTGACCGTTTCATTAAAGCTGAGGTCACGGAAGAGAGAGAGGTTTGGGAGAATGAAATTTGTATATCGTTCGTCCTTCGGTGTGCCGACGTTTCGCATCCATAATCTGACTTTTCATTCGTTATCGAAGTTGAAGAAAATCAGTTTCGAACATGCCTTCATACCACTTGAACAAGGAGTCAAAAATGTGTCCAGACATGGGATCAAATATGAGCTCCATGGTTAAAACCTTGGCTGCATCAGCTAAAGAAACAGAACTCACTAGTACTGGCTGCTGGTGTTCGGATTTGCAGCCGTATTGTTATATGGGTCGCAAGCCTGGCCGCTGCGTGCTGAGGACGTTGAAAGCCTTCATGGTTTCACCGTCGATATTTTAATAATGTTGCCCCACTCTGGTGGGACCATCGGATCAGTACTACTGAAGGACATCGACTGGTTTTCCGAAGAAATAACTCGCCCACAAGGGATGAACTGATCACACTATATGGCATGTACTTACGTGTTCGGTCACGTGCTCCGTTTTCTAGTCAATCGACTCCTCGGAAGAACCATACGAAGGGTGAAAATGAGTCATAGAAAATAAAGCAACGAATTATGAAAGCCATTACCAGCAGCCTCGTTTGCGCTGATCATTTCCGTATCCAAAGTCGGGGACCCTGAGACGGAACGCACCAATGGTTGGAGAGTGTCAGACGTGACCCAGTTGTAAACTGAATGAAAATCCCTGTATTGATCCAATATTTCTGTCGGCTACCGCGTCTAATGCGTAGTTATCTCCCCCATACCTCCTCAGGTCGTCAGCGAACTAAACTCTGCTGGCTACAACCACTACGACGAGTATGCCATTTTTCAGGCTGATGACGTCACCGTAGCTCAACGATATCCAGTTCATTTGGCTGAGAAACTATCGAAACTTGGCGGGTATGGTGTTTGTACTGGGGGCGAGATGGACCTAGCGGTTAGAGCGCGAATTTACTGACCGGAAGATCCGTGGTTCGAACCCGACCTATGCCACTCGACTTCCCCTGTCTAGGCTTGGGCGACCCGGCCCTCGTGCCTCCTTCGTGTGGCATGGCAGCTAGGCACCGAAAGGGTGCTACAGCTGGACGTTTTTTTGTACTGGTTACTTGGGTGACGATTAGGGAGAGGTGAAAGAAGTCGTGCTCACAGATGTTGATACTGTTTACCCGAGGTCCGTCGCATACCCCTTGAAGACTGGACCCAGCTGTAATCAGCAGCCCTGCCGTCCATCAGCTCATCTTCTGAAAGGATAAACTGAACCCGAGTGTAACTTGGACATCAATCCGCCATTAATAAAGGAATTCCAGTTTGCGATCTCTGCTTGAGCGCAACAAGGCACTTGGACTATACGGTTTGCACCCTGCACTCTTAAAAGAAGGTGGGCGAGTCCTTTGTAGCCAACCGACTCCAACGGTTACTGCCGTACTTAAAAATCTGCTTCTGACTCCTTTAGTCCTCAGTAAGCGTGGCAGTGGGTGACAATGAAGGGTGTCCCTTCTGAACTCTTGTCTCATAAAGGATTTGTATGCCTCTTCCCGTGGGCGCGTACTTCTCCGGCAACTGCCCTCTTATGTACACCATATACGCGGGTGCCAGTCAAGGGTGTCCTCCGTTATCCTTTCTCTGCAACTTAGTAAGGTATATATCACTTCAGACACTGAGTACGCCAACCTCATTGTTCTTGAATCAGACTCTTTAGAAGTAGAGACTATTTTCAATAGCCTAAATGCTTCTACTACACGGTTGAGTATGCGCCTCCCATCTGAAAAATTTAGTGTTGCTGTAAGATTGAATAGCATCAAACCTGAACTTCATGCTTGCAGCTGAGCTGATCGACGCGGTAGACAAATTTTTCTATCTGGGCAGCTGTATAATTCCCGAAGGACTGGTAGAAGATCAACTCACTTCCCGAATTGGAAGGCCAGGAAAGCGTTGGTCACTCCCCTACATTTGTAGCGCCGGTGTGATATCAGACTGGCTGTCAAGAGTTGAACGTATAATGCGACGGCCCAATCTGTTCTACTTTATGGATCACAGGCGTGGCGATTACCTGCGGGAGACCTTCGAAGGCTCTTTGTTTGGCCATAGGTGCCTCCAAAGCATTGCGCGAGTCTGTTGGGAACAGATCAGTGATACTGAAGTACGCCAGATGGTTTTCGGGAAATTTCATTCCGCCTCGACAGATCAGCTGATCGTATTCCACAGGTTACGCTAGTAAGTCCATGTACTTCGCATGCCAAGAGGCCGCTTGCCTCATGGAATCCTTTTCACCCAGCCTTGTTTGGGATGGAGGGGACCCAAGGGCGGTCTGTACACGACCTAGCAACGCAGCAACCCAGTCTACTTGGTAACTCGTTTCCCGCATGAGGACCGCAGGAGAAGACAAAGCAATGGTAACTGATTCTGGCAGATATGGCTGTCACAAAGCCAATAGTGGTTTTATGTCCAAGCTATCGCCTTCATTTTGTAGCTCTCCATTCCTTCCGCCAGGTTTACTCGAATTCGTATTCTTCCGGTTTATAGTCCCTTGATGATGCATCAAGCACTAAAACAAGGATGGAGTGGGCTTCATGTCCCTCTTCTGATGCAAATTGTCAAAATACGGGTTTTTGAAGTTTGTCTCTGGCAACGTCATTTTTGGTGCAATAGAAGGTTAGCGACGTATTCCGAAGACCAAATGGCATACTTGGAGATTCGTGGAGGTCGAACGGCGTGGTGACAGCTGTCTTTTAGATGTCACCGGGACCCAATGATCGTGGATGTTTTTTGCTGGATGTCCAATAATAGCCACATGAACGTTTTCATTTTGAGCTTCTTCAGGACCGTGTGCTGCGCCGGGATCCGTGGAATGCTAGATGGCCAAACGACATAAAGGCCGAACATGTGGTCAGCCTCGCCCCGGAAGACCTTCAGTTCCTCAGGGGCAGTGTGGCACAGTTTTTCAAAGGCTAACGGACCTTTCGTTTTGATATGTTGTTCTCTAGTTTTCGACATGGCTATCGGGATCACAGAGAATTGCAACGGATCCGGGGGCGGCGGATTATCGGATTGTATCATGATGACATCGGTTTGAAACAACACGAGACTAGTTGAGGCCGGGTGGACCAAAGTCTCAGCCTTGACAGTCTGTATGCAGCTGTCCAAGAGTATGTATCTTGTTACAGTTGACTAGGAGGTGTGAGTGGCGAAGAGAAACGATGCAGATTTGGGTACCTGAACGCCAGTGACAAGAACCAATAATCACAAATAACTTTCTTCATACGTGACTGAAGGGGAAAGTCTAAGAAAAGCCGGTGTTTGCCATGCACATCGATGGTTCTGCCAGACACCTCCCTTGGGCTCAAAGTCGTCATCTGTCGATTGTCTTGTAACCCTGGAGAAGGGGAATTAACCTAGGTCTCAATGTCGACTAGGTAGCATACTCAAGTGGTGCGGTCGGTGAAACAAAACATGGCAATCATTTGTGTCGCCATTATGCGCCGGCCAGCTCGCCTCTCTTTACCTCGGTAAAAAAGGTGCAACTTGGTTAGTAACCTCCGATTTGTGGTAGAACTTGTTGGTACGCATCAGAACGATGAACTAGCACGTCCTGCATTTTTTGTTTGGGGGGTAGGCGTCCGCGGCATCGGTTAACTCTTCCACGTCGTCGACTGTGTGTGGTGATGGCGTTGATGCGATATAATATTTTGCCGGCTCGCTCGTAGTGTTGCGTGATGCGAACGTGGCGTCTAACTGTTAGAACTATAATTCCGGATCGCTGGATGAAACTAAACAGCATTCATCGCTTGTGTCGTGAGGTTTGAATAACTTTGTGGGGTGCCTTCCGGTGTCTCAGCAACCGGTTCAGCGAATTTACCATATCGTAGAACATTTCTGAAAGAAGTCAGGTAGAAACTCACTCCACGGTTTGTGTGCTCAAGAAGAGCGCTAAAAGGTAATCGAAAACGCTCTTGTTTCTAGTGCTCTCTGTGGTGTTAAAATTTGCAGGACTTTCAGTCCATTAAGTACGACATAATCCAGTATAGTAGTGAAATAAGCTGCGGCTAACGATACGAATGTCCGTGAATAGGAGTGTACGACCATTGTACGAATAGGTATCTAATAGGCAACTGTGGGAAGATGGCTACATGGAGCATGTAAAGAACTGCAAGGAGGCAGCACACTAAAAATTTGTAGAGTTAGAATCATGATCGGCGTTCACATCAAAACGGAAACAGACAGACAAAGCTAGTCGAGGAAGACCGAAAAGGGTGTACACGCGACTTGACATGCTTGTTCACTGGTAGAGCGCGTTTCAGCTAAAACAGCGACCTTTCAGCCTTCGTATCTTCACCCATGTTTACAGCGGGCTATAGCTTGTCCAAACAGACTGACACGAATGTTCCTGGAGTAAAGCTTACGCGAGAGAGATATCGAAACACCTGATTTAACAGACATTCACGAGAAGTTATGTAGGTTCAGATTTGTCGCACTTCGGGTTTTGCAATCCGACTGGTATAAATAAACTAATCGTTCAGCTATAACATCCTTTCGGTGCCTAGCTGCCATGGTACCCAAAGAAAACAAGAGATATGAGATACAGCCAGCTCGCTCAAGCCTAAAAGAGATGCCGAGGTTTTGTTCGAAACACCTTAACCACCGGGCTATCTGGATATCGACGATGCCCGCGACCTCACACTTGCTTCTTCCTCTCCCCAAAAACTGTTTGAAATAATTCAGCGTGATCTACAACTTTTGCAGAAGCGGATTGACCTTTGGCAAAAATAAAAGCGCTGCTGTTATGTAGGAATCGGAAGGTGCCCATGATACTGATTTCATTTTCGCTGTTGGTTTGATTTAACAAATGTGGGAAGGATATCCAACGACCACAGTGACCCTATCCACATTTAGGCTCGAATTGATGAAAGGCCGTCGGTCGACAAACGAATGCCTTCCCGGTCAAACCTGTTGGCTACTTTCCTATTTTTGAGGTCTGGATCTGTTTGCAAAAAGTGTGACATCTTTTGAGATGCGGTTTTCCTACCCAGCATCTTGAGTTTTCATGTCTCTGTTGAGTCCCTAGTATCTAACCTCCTAGACTAGGAACTGTTTTCGTTGCTGCTTTGGAGTTTTCTAAACGTGGAGCAAAAGTTTCAAAGGGTGAATTGAAACCATAGGTTTATCTGTTTGCCAGTCTACTTTTCATCTGTGAAGCATTTCTAGTAAGATTAGCCATTATCCGTACGGACCAAACGCAGTCCTACCAGATATGCGGCCCTGAAGAAGGTATTTCATGGGTCCTCAAGCTAAGCGAGAAAAACGCTAGGCTGACCACCATGACTGCTTAATGCTGGGTCGGTTTGCTGCGTGGATTCCAGACATGCGCTTGTCCGCTGCTGCTTTCGTTGCACTTTTCATGTCTACATAAGACGCGTACACCTCGCTTAGCCATGAGAAGCTTTTGGACCCAGAAATCAAGTAAGGGTACCAGAACTGGCTCCTGCAACACATGCCGGCTGGTCCGATGCAGGATGTTGATGATCACATAAACACTAGACCTTATCGTGGTGTGGCGGTTTGTGTGCTTCCGTGATCCATTGAGATATATTGAGTTGTGTCCATACAACGCTCACAGTCTGCTGACCCTCCAGGTTGTTACTTGTTCTACAAAAATGGAGCCAAAGACTTTGGTTGAGGACCCTGGTCGTCCTCTTCTCTGGGTCCGGGCGCCCTGACAGTACCCAAGCCCACATACAACCATGTAATCCAATGCCACATAGACCGTCGCGTGGTGTCACCAGCCGGGTCCCGCTCTATACAGCGGGATGGGTAAGCGAAAATATTCTACTGCCGACATCATCATCATCAATGACAGAAACATCAGTGTTCGCACTGAAGCTTCACTGCCGTACAACCATAAAGTTCGTTTAGTTATATATATATATATATAATTGTATTAGAAGCCCTAAAGTGAAGAGAAGGGAAAAAGAGTGGGTGAGGGAGGGGACCTAGTGCTGGCCTATATCAA